AGAGGGAGGAGGGACGAGAGGGAGGGGGGAGGGAGTAGGGAGGAGAGAAAAGCGAGGGAGAAGGGGGAGGAGGGGGGGAGGGAAGATGTTATGAGGAGGTGTGAGAGAGAGCAAAGAGGCGGTTGATGAAGTTACGCGAGGTTATGTGTGACAGACGGAGTTATGAGGACCCATGATGAAGGGCAGAAGGAGGGTTTACGGGGAAATTACAGGAGGGAGCCTTATGGGAAACTCTAGGTACCAGAGGGAATTTGACGAACTGTCTAAAATTACCGTATTTCAAGACGCAAACGCGTATAGACACTTAACGCACACACACACACACACATACGTACGCTAACACTCACACACGCGCCCCCTCCCAAATCTTTCTAAATATCAGTATTTCTCCATCATGTCTTTTATGCGCCCTTATGACTTTAAGCACACAGATGCGCTGTGTATATTTGTGGGAATATAAGGTGATACTCATACGTCAAACGAGCTTCACTTTAAATGGAATCACCGAAATAATCTTCCACTCCCCCCCCCCCACCTACCCCGCCCCTCTCATGTCCATACCCTTCGTCCCTATTCGTAAATTACTCCTCTATTCTCATGTCCCTGTCTCCCTTGTACGCTCTCCTTGCCCCTCCATCCCTCTATCGCCACGTTGGATCTCCCATTTCCACATCCTACCTCGACATCCCCCCATCTCCCCTAACCCCAATAGCACGCCCACAACTTGACTCCCCCCTCCCCCTCATCTCACCTCATCCTCCCCATCCTACAGACCTTTATCCCCTCTCCAACACTCCCCCTTTCCTCCCCATCCCACCTGCACACTACCCCCACCCTACGAACCCCTATCCTCCCTCCCCCAAGCCCCCTTCATCCTCCTCCCCTTCCCACTTGCCCCCTACCCCCATCCTACAAACCCCTCCCCCCCCTCCCCCCTCTTCCCACCTCCTCCCCATCCCCATCCTACAAACCCATATCCCCCCCTCACCTTCTCCCCTCCCCCCTCCCCCTTCTCCTTCTTCATTACACTATCTCTCATTACGGAGAAACAGCTGATCCCAATCTCAATTTTCCGAAAGTTGACGCCCGTGCACCTTTTTTTCGCAACCCCTTAACAACAAGGCTGCGTAACTCTCGTTACAAACTTGGTATCTTCGGGAAAGCGCTGCGTGGAGTAAGTGGCGGGGGGGGGTATATTCGGGATATTTTTCGTATTCTCCTCTCGCCGGATGCGATTATGGTGGAGATGGTGGAGATGATGATGATTGTGGTGGTGGAGATGGTGTTGATGATGTTGATAGTGGTGGAGATGGTGTTGATGGTGGTGGTGTTGATAGTGGTGATGGTGGTGTTGATGGTAGTGGTGGTGTTGATAGTGGTGATGGTAACTGTTGGTTGTGATGATGATGATGATGATGATTGCGATGAAGATAATTCGTAATTGAAAATAATCATAAATCGAGAAATCGTATAGCTTTGTTGCTGATGCTACTGCTATTTCAACCTTCATAAGAATGGCTGCATGTATAAGCATACCCGAGATATATCAATTAACATTTTCTAATATCTGATAGATGCCTAGTACAAGCGTGTAATTGTTTGTCTGTCAGTTTGTTCGTTCGTGTTTTATGCCTCGCCACCAAATCGTAATCGAGTGCCCCCAAAGCCGTAGATCAGCAACCCCTAAATTTTCATGGCCAGACAACTTCTTCGAGCAATGAATCTCCTCGCCTCAGAGTAATCTGCTTCTGCCCTCCAAATCTGCTCCTAATTTCGTCTCGGGAACCTTAATCCACACGAAAACTTTCACTCATCACAAATCTCCTCTTACTCTGCTACGGCATCTACTCGTCTGTCAACTCGTCCACCTACTCGTCTATCGATTCGTCTGTCTACTCGTCTATTAGCTCGTTTGTCTGTTTCTCTATCTACTCGTCTATCAACCCGTCTGTCTACTCGTCTCTCTACTCGTCTATCGATTCGTCTGTTTACTCGTATATTAGCTCGTTTGTCTATTTCTCTATCTACTTTTCTATCAACCCGTCTGTCTACTCGTCCATCTACTCGTCTATTAGCTCGTTTGTCTATTTGTCTAATCTACTCGTCTATCAACCCGTCCATCAACCCGTCTATCCACTCCTCTCCCCCGGACCACCGCCTAAATCCAATTAAATCTTTCCCGACGCACTGGCAACCCCCCAAGAAAATTTTCATCTCGACCCGTCAATAACTTTCGGCGTAATCCTGCTCGCGAAGTAATCAACCAAAAAAACTAAATAATAAATAAAAATTAATATATGAAAAGAGTGGGTAAGGACAGTTACAGCCAGTTATAATAACGATGAAGACGATGATGATGATGGTATTAGAATATAATGATAATGATGGTTTTAGTAACAGCAATAACTTCAGAAACAAACGAAAACAACAATGGTTATAATAATATCAACAAGATGATTAACAGCTGCAACAGCAATAACAACAATGATAATAATGATCA